GAAAGAAGTTAAGGGCAGAAAGAATTCATGGTAGCCTTATGCCCCGAGGTCTGCCCCACTCACTTATGACCTAAAGTGTGTAGGAAGTAACATAAAACAAATGTCACAGAAACCCCTTGTAAACCACCTACCCAAATGTGTGCTTAACACATTATCTGATGATCATGTTGAAGAAAAATAGGGCTGCTGTGCACTCATGTGTATCAGACATGTATATGTTGTCAGAAACATGTATGTGGCTGTCAAATCAGTTTCATCTTTTTTTCCTTTTAAGGCAGCTAATATCGTGCAACCTAAAAAAGTATGTTTAATGATAGCTTTACTGATCTATCTAAATCATCTAACACTTACATTAGAACAAGCATTACAAATACTTTTCGATTATGAAAAATCTAAATTTTGCTTCAGGTTGTATTTCCTGTCAAGGATTGATGAACGTGCTGCAGAAGGCTGGACATGCCCTTCACAGGGTTCATGCCGTATCAGGTCGTCACACTCAATCAACACTTGCAGCTTCACAGTTTAATTAAAGGGCCTGTGGTGCAGTGCAACGTTGCAAGTTACGTTGCTTTTATAATTTCACATAAATTTGGAATTTGTGGCAATGGCTCAGGATAATAGAAAATATATTCAAGATAGAATAATTCAAAAGAAATTTCAGGTATATATTCACACGTGATCATCTGTGCTCTTTTCCTATCTGCCGGCGGAGTGGAGAGGATTTCGAGGCGCTGAAGGAAAGCAGCACTACAAGACGGAGGAAGCTTGGATTCTAAAATGACCACGTGGAAGGCCGTCTCTGACTGGGGGAAGGGTGGGGGTGGCTGGCTGTGCAACTCCCTCCTCCCACATCTCGCCCCGTGTCTTCGTGATGCTACTTCCCAGAGGTATGGAGAAATATGAGACAGTACAGGTTCTCTTTCCTATTTCCCTTTTCAAATTGCCATTCTCCCACTTAAAAAAAAAATAAGTACATTCTCCCACTTTAAAAAATAAAAATAAAATTAAGTATCTCTCTATGGGTGTATTGACTGGGGTATAACATCCGTTGAGGGGGTAGGAGCCTCAAACACGGGATGATTCAAAATATTGATGGAGGTACTGGATTTTGACTCAATAATCTTGATTTTTGTTGTAATTCATCAATTTGTGGATGTGCTTACCCTAGACTTAAGGCTTCCCTATGGTATATCTCTCTTAGTAACTGTGAGATCTCAGGCAAGTTAGTTAATTTTTTGATCTTCAGTTTTCTTATCATAAGATGGGGAAAATAATAGGGGGTTCAGGGGTTCATCGTGTGATTGAATAACTCTTTTTAAAAAATGCTTAGTATAGTGCCTGGCACACAGGAAGTGCTTAGCAAATGTTAGCCCACTGTTATAATTATTCCCGACTTTTTCATGCATGTGTACAGACACACACACACTGCCAAGATCTCTGTTTGGTTCTAATTTAATCTTCATTAATGACATCACCAGCAAGGGTGTAGGAAACTTGGACCACAGCATATAACCCTTTACTGAACTAAGAGCCACACTTATTGTTTCTTTAAGTGATAGTTTGTATTCTAGAAATTATCCAAAGTCA